TGGTTGTCAGCAGCTGAATGGTGGTATAATACTAATTTCCATACAGGGTTGAAGTGTACCCCTTTTGAAGCTCTTTATGGGTATACACCCCCTCAACTGTGTATAGGACCTCTATTGGAAAATGTGGTGCAAGCTGCTGAAGATGTGATCATGCAGAGGCAGCAATTTTTGCAATTACTTAAGGATAATTTACATGCAGCTCAAGCCAGGATGAAGTTCTTTGCTGATAATAGAAGAACTGATAGAGAGTTTGCAGTGAGAGATTCAGTATACTTGAAGTTGCAACCCTGATACCAAGTTTGTCACGACCCAAGCCTAGGGCCTAGACGTGACCGGCGAATGGGGAACCCGAAGGAACCCCAAACAAGCCTCATAGCGTATCATTACACATCCTTGGTCGCGGAAGCAAATAAAATGACCATAAGCGATAAGCATAATTAAGGGGGGAATCGGGACTAAGGGAGCAAGAGAAACAAAAATAAGAATGATACAAAAATACCATAGATGAGTCAAGCTCAAGCATAATACACAACTTGTCCAACACCACCTCTAAACATGAGTACTTAGCGGGGGCCAAGACAAACTACCGGGCTCACCCTCATAGACAAAACATAACTAAAAAGAAAAAGTCTTATACATAGCAAAAGATCATGAGCAACGTCCCCGGAATGGAGGACTCACCAATAACCTTGATAGAAAATCGTATTAGCCACGCGGAGGAGGAGGGTCAAGCGGTGCTCCGGTCCCTACATGGTGACATCATGTAGGCATAGAGTATGCGTTAGTACATTTGAATGTACTAAGTATATGGGATGCAATGCAATGCTACAATAGATGGACACCATAGGAAAATGCATAATAATACCCGTTAGATAGCACATTAATGAAACGATATATATATAATGACGCTTACATAAAAATCATATTTAGTGGGACGTAGCACAAGTGTGGTGAGTGACCATCAATATAGTATTTTCAAGGCCTACCACCCCCTTGGAGAGGCGAAAGAGGTACAAACCCCTCAATGTGGTTACCCGGGCCTACCACCCCCCGAGCTAGGGACCAAGGTACAAACCCCTCGATATGGTTATACGGGCCTACTACCCCCCGTACTCGGCAACCAAGGTACCAACCCCTCGATACGGTTATACGGGCCTACTACCCCCCGTACTCGGCAACCAAGGTACCAACCCCTCGATACGGTTATACGGGCCTACTACCCCCCGTACTCGGCAACCAAGGTACCAACCCCTCGATACGGTTATACGGGCCTACTACCCCCCGTACTCGGCAACCAAGGTACCAACCCCTCGATACGGTTATACGGGCCTACTACCCCCCGTACTAGGCTTGGTCGACTCACAACACGTATATAGAGAAAATCATATACATGTGTCCATTTCATCATCATTTCAATAATTATATAACCATTCGATTCATAGGACGTACATTGGACCTTCCATTTCATAAGAATTCTATAAATGGCATTTTATCAAACATATGGTGGGCTACTTGTTCATGTAAATAAAATCATGTGTTTCAAGAGTACTAAGTCCAACCAATTCCGAAATACGTATAAATCAGCCCACCAACAACATACATATATATATACATATATAACAACCTTCATAATTTGATCATTGAGGCATGAAAACCATAAACATCATATAATCATTCCATTTCATGATAATATACAAAAATAGACCATAATAGGATGTGTAGTAATAATTCCATAATTCAAGAGTTCATAAATGATCATAAGGACCCATAAACTTGAAGTAAAATAGAGGATAAATGGTTGGACTTGTGGAAAGGAAGGTTTCCACAATCAACCCACATACCTCAACTTTGGAGAATCCTTGATGAGGATTGGAATGGAGAATTGATGCTTGAGATTGAGTCTTGAATTCGGAATTAGAACTTGAGAGGTTTGAATTTGGTTGAAGATCTTGGTGGAATTTTGGAGAGGGATTAGAGAATGTTTTGAAAGTTTGAGAAATGTTTTAGAGACTTGGAATGAACTAATGATATATAGGGAATATCATATGCCCTTTGGAAAAAAAAATTGTCCAACACTTAGAAAAAATAATGGGGCGGGTGAACAGTAAATTGGCTTACTGGAAATTGCACTTTTCTGC